AAAAAAAAAAAAATTCAAAAAGATTGAAAAATTGTTTTATTAGTTCTAAAATAAAAATTATTTAGTGTAATATTTTATTCAAAATATTTCTGTTATTGTAAAAACTTATTTTGTTCTAATTAATTACCATCTAATAATGTATTCCATTAAGATTGCACTTTTAATGCTTTTTTTTCGTATTTTCAAATAGATTTCTTTCCAGATTGAACGAACCGAAAACGCTTGGAAAGAATGCAAAGACGTCAAATTTTACAACCTTGAATCTTTCGTCAAACATATATCAATTGTATTCAAGTTTCAATTAATATATACGTAGCATAATATGTAGATATAGATATATATAACAATAGTTAATCATACAAAATTGCGGCAGTGTGCTTTCACGTAATATATTAATGATATTACGCATATCCGGGCATGTTTTCATCATTATTATTAAAAATTAGGAATATTGAGGAAAGCCGGATACCTTCCAAATATTTTATTTTAACAGAAGAATTTCTTTATATAAAATTATCTTGATCAATATATCATGGAGAACACAATTTCTTCAAAGATAAAGACTTCAATTTTTTATAAGTCTAATTATACATTTTTTTCTTGAGAACTTGCATCTCTGTATAGCAAAATACGTACTTTGTCACAATATATTGTTTTTTTAATATACTATAATATACTATAATATTTTCCATATTTTTCAACAATTTCATTATAATAACTTCAGATAAATATCACTATTCATAATAAAAAATTATTGCAATACTTATATTTTATCTTTCTGTTATTCTTTTGCAGAAAAATGAAGATCTGAAAAATATTAAGGATATAAGTCAATATATTATTATTCATGATATTTTCTCAAATGATGTTTTAATGTCAATTATTTGGAAAGAATTACTTCTCTAATAACATTTTTTTAAAGAGTATTTTTATGAAATTTTTAAGAAATGGATAATACTTGTACGTATCAATTATTCTATCTATTCTAATAACAAGAAATAATAAATCATAAAATAGCAAAAATGTTGCAAAAATAGAACTGAAAGCAGCAGAATTTTATAATGTTTAAATTAAAAGAAATAAAAATGAATATTTAATTAAAAAATGGTATCCGGCGTTCCATTGCTTGCATCGAACGACAATGAAACAGTCAGGAGTTCGATAAAACCAGGGCTACACGAATTATGATACACTAAGCTATACAATGATCCTCTTTTCTTGGCTACTTGAAACAAACGTCACCACTGATGACATTCTCTACTGAAATGTCACCAATTAAACTAACGCTGTACGGAAAAAAGAGAGTGCACTCTTTGTATGCGATATGCATACAATGTAAATACATTATACATATAAATATATGCTTGTATCGTAACAGCATCGTTCAATCGTTCCTTTTATCAAATTAAAGAAATGTTGATGGGCTCTCTTCTTTAAAAGAGCCAAAATTATCATAAAAATTGTTGGCAAAAAATATTAATTGATCATATAAATCAGCAATTCTCAATCTTTTTGTTATGTGACTCAACATATTTATTTATAATTCAAATATTTATAATATACAAATTAATAGAGTTCATTGTATACTATATAAATCAGTATTTCTATAATTAGACTTTATTAGTAATTCTATTATAAGTCAATAGATTTTTTCACAACTAAAATTCGTTCAGTATGATCAAGGTAGGAATTTTAATTGTAAAATCCATTATTTTTTTGTAAAATATTATATAAATTTATATATAAATTATCCACATATTATTCTTGTATATCATAGATTGATAAACGTTGATCTATTATTTTTTTCTATGATTGGTCAGTTTCGATTATAATCAGTTAACGAAAAACTACAAATTTTTATCATATTTCTTATATAAAAGTTTCCCAAAAACAGTCTTTTCTTTTGTCTTTTTTTTTTCTTTCTTTTTTTTCCATTTTATTTTTCTTTTTTCGTTGAACTTTAAATTGTTGAATAACTATATAGTTAATTAAAAAAAAAATATGGCATGCTTCACATATCTTATTATATAAATTTTTAAGAGCCTGAATACTTTATTGAATAATGCTGATACGATATAAAGTATATTATATGTCATTTATATAAATTGTATTCACTCACGAGGACACGAGTTGAAAAAGCAATTTAATAGTGGTCAACTTTTAAGAAGTACCATTTGATTTTTGAATCTTTACATATCTTACACTTTATAATTTAATCTTTGTACAAGATTGTTTGTAGTCTTTTATGAACAAATTAATAAAAATAATAAACATTTTAAATATTTCTTTCTTTAAAATCATTCTAAAAACATCCAATGATTTTAATATTATCATTTATACATTATTTAAATATTATAAATAGATCTTGAATATTAATTTTATCCAACTGAAAATATTCTTTCACTTTTGAGTGTGGAAAATCTATTTTATTAAAAGCTATTATTTATAATGGAAATAATTTTCTTGCAGTTCCTTTAAACTTTTGCATTTCTTTCCAAAAACTGCTTCCATTATTTAATTTTAGCTATTTTATGAAACTTTAATTGTTTTTTCATATTTTATCTGACTACTGAATAAATAAAATACTTCAATAAATAAAGTCATTACTCCTTGGATATTACGAATTACTGGATATTATCAAGGGAAATTTTTTATTATTAGTATTTTTAGTATTAAATACTTCTTAATTATTAAAATTGAATACCTTTTAATTATTGAATCAAATTTCTTTTTATGAAAAACCGCTTAACGAGATCAAAATTCGTATACTTTCTAAAAATATTCTTTTTTTAAATTAAACAAAATTAACAAAAAAGTTAAATTGAATCGCAATGTCTGATGATTCATTCAATATATATTATACAAACTTTTATTTATATGTATTGTTACGAACACACATTAGATTTTTCTGAGGATTTTGTTTGAAGGATAATGTTTGAAAAAATATATTTATTCAAAGTCATAAATTTAATAAAAATATAAATTAAATATACAACGTTAGATGTCATCATTAGATGACACTAATGCCATAAAAATTAAAAATAATTATAAAAAAGTAAGATTATGCAATAGAATATATTTTATACAATTTAAGAAAAAACATATATATTTAAAAAACTAATGACTTATTACAAAGATTTGTAATAAGATAATTATAAGATAATTATTAAATGAAAAATTATGTAGAAACAAAATATTTAATGTATTTTAAATTTAAATTGAAAAGATTAAATTTAAATTTAAATTGAAAATTGAAAGAAATCTTAAGTAATATTAAGTAAATCTATAAAAGAGATTTTAGAACAATTGAAAAGTTCAAGAAAAGAATTTCAATGCAGGAATTTTAAAAACTGGGATAGAAATCGATGGAAGACATAATGTCATCTAATTTTAACATGATGGACATAGTTGAACTCATTAATCTCAACAACAGCCGCAATAGAATGAGACATTGATATTACTGAGTCTTATTGATATATAAGCATTTTATATATCAATATTTTATCATAATGCTATAGACTATAATCAGGACAAGTAAAATTTAATTAAATAAAAATATATGGTTTTAAATTCTCTATGATCTTATGTGAATTTAGATACAACATTGTAGATTATAACTAGACTAATCATTAATCTCAATTCATTCTCTATGATATATAACAAAATCCACTGTGTGTATGCAACAACATTATATTAATACTATATCAACTAACTATAATGATAGTAATAATACTTATAAATAGATACTCGTGTCCCCATTGACGAGATCGTAGAACAAACGAACCCCGGAGAATATTCTGACCGAAAGATAATTTCTCTCGGTTCGTCCTCTTCAAATGCTTATTTTTTCGCAGATATAATAATACTGACTATGTTTTTAATCGTTTTATAAGTTTATTTAAACTTTATTTATTTTAAATTTATTCGTAATTATTATCATTTCTCGGTGAATTTCGGTTCTTCGTCCTGATCCATCTTCTTCTACTTTTCTTTATTTTTCATTCGTCGATTTGCTATTGTCAACATGTACAAGAAGTTATGGAACCAGTTTCTCGGCTCCTATTGCACTGAACATTATATATATATATAAATTATCATCTGCGTACACTTACACTTTGCTTTTTTCTTTCTTCTTCAATTTTCTAATTCTTATCTCTTTTTCTTTTTCTTCTGATACACACATATAATGCACGTATATGTGGACGCAGTAATGTGTACATTAACAATTTCTTTGTGTTTTGTATATGAGGGCTAACTAATCTCTAAGTAATAGATTTTTTATCAAAAGCACATGTATATTGTGACTAGTCTATGTGTGTATATATAATATATATATATAGTATATTGTATATAAATCGAGCATTGCTGTGTAATTCTTCTTTTTCTTCTTCATATTTTCTTATATGTATCCAGGTGTATGTATGCTTTTTTATTTAATTTTTTTTTTGTATATCTTTTTTTATTTTTATTTTATTTTCTGTTCTTTCTGCATATGGCTGTTTTTTTTCCATTATCAATTAATCAATATGATTAGTTCATTTCGTCTTTTTTCTTCTGCAACTAGCTTCACTGATGAAGAAACTCCTCCGGAACTCTTTCGCATGAGATCTGAGTCTCGACCGGTCGGGAAATATCATAAATTCCGTTGAAAATTTAATTGAAGAAGCGGTAAAACTTCTTTGAGTTGAGGATGTGTGCGATGAATCGCGGAATCTTTTACAAGATTTCGTAATTTCCTCTTTTTCAGTAGATTAGATATCATTTTTTCGGTCGGTTTAAATAAATTTGTGCATTTTGGGACACGGAAGACGACTCGAGATGCTCATTATCATAAAAGTACTCACTCGTTGTTTTTTTTGCTTTATTAATTTCTCATTTGGTGGCTTTACTAATATTGAGTTGAGAAAGAAGCTTTCGGCTGATCTCAAGGTAAAATATAGAAAAAAAGTTTAGATGATTAAAAAATCTTCTTCCATAGCATTTGTGCTTGAATAAAAAGTTTATAATCATTGATTCTTCAGCTGCAAAAGGTAATCGTGTAATTTATTTATTTCTAAAATATCTAGAGAAACCTAAAATAATTAGGAATTAAATTTTGTGCAAGGAGTTTTAAGCTAGGAACCTGTTTGTCAATACGCAGTCTTTGATGATAGTGAGATCATAATATATTTTGCAGCTAAAGAGTGAAATCCGTTTATAAATATCAACATAATTTTGGTTACCATGTTTCTTCTTCTTTGATGGGCTATCTTTATATCTGATGAGCAATACGAAAACAAACTCGTATACATATAAAACTTGCAGAAGGCTTTTAGTTAGTCGTCAGATCGTCAATGTTAGCGTTAGATCTCATTTCTTCACGATGATTTTATAATGAATATTCGCAGTGGTCCCATTATGCGCGTCGTTTCATCTGGGAAACAATGATCGCTTTTATTGTGCGTCTGGCGACAAATATTCAGCCTCGAGTTTCGTATAAATTACAAAATTTTTTAAATGCAACATTCTCAGAGAAATATGTGTGCGATTTGACGCGTTGACTGTTACAAGAAAACGTCCATAAATATTTTAAAACACAACATCATATAACAAAGAAAATTATTTTTCTAACACAGCCAACAATGCAATAATAACATTCTAAAAAAAAACTTTTTTGTTGCTCTATAGCTAGTATGCATTAAAAATTAAAAAATCATTTTGTCATATAAATTATTAATTATAGCACGATATTAGCACAAGTTTCTAAATTTTTCTAAGTTTCTAAATCGAAGCAGTCAACGCGTTGAATGTCTTCGAGAAATCAGAAATAGAATGTATTTTTTTTTTCCAGCGTTTATCAACACATCATAAAAATTGTATGCTAAGATAAAAGAAAAACTTCTTTAACACATTGCTTACCATTCTATTTAATTTTGAATAATAAGCAATGTCTTAAAAACTTAACCTCACTCTTCCTTAAACGATTGTAACAAACATATTTGTGAATAACAAAAACTTTTAACCAATCTATAGATATTTGTTTTAACAGACTTCAAAATCCATTATTTCTTTATTACCATCAGCCTTTGCAGCACCAGTATCATGCAATATATTCATATATAATCAAACTTTCTTCTTATGTCAATAAATAAATTTACAAAAACTGTAATCAGACTTTGCTGTTCACAGTCTATTTTAACAATTAACTAGATTACAATTAATCTTTTCAACTAATTGAATCGATTAATGTTATCTTTCCATTGAATTCAAATCCTAATCTTTTTAAATATTCATCGCTCGATGCCCAACATTGTTTCTTTTTAATATTTATTCAATAAAAAAAAAAAGCAAAATTCTTCAAATTGTCAAATCGAAATGGAGATGTTTAAGTTATGGGCGCATACCCTCGACTTATAATTAATCCATATGTTTAATGAAATTTTAATGCGTCTTGGATACGTGCTGATGTCGATCGTCGTCACTAGCTTCTATATCACCCTCAACTCCCTTTTCGCCTTCTTCTAGATGTGGTATATTCCCCTCCTCAGTGTCAACACTACTGGTCGGTGTAATTTGTTCTGTTCCTGGACCAGTGGAGTTCACTGTGGTCCCTTCGTTGCTCTTTTCGAGTCCCAGACCGCCGAGGAGGTTCTTATTAATCGGTTCCGGCGAGACTTCTGACTCCTCGCTGCTAGGTGAACCGGGAGACGAGACTATCACCTGTATAAACAAAGACGCCACACCACCAGCGTCATTTTTGATTACTGATATATTTTTTAGATTTTATTAGAATATATTTATAAAATTTTTCATTTTTTACATTCTATACGATAATTCTAGATATTAAACTTGGATTGAATAATAATTTATTTATTTAAATTATTGCACAAAGAGTAAAATGTTATTGGTTGGGTAATTGTATAGGAAATGGATTCAGTAATTATATGGATTTAGTAATATTTAATAATTATGCAGAATAGGATACACCTCAGTGATTTCATGACAATCTTTGAGGATTTGAAGGATATTTTGTTCTTGATTCTACTTCGAATAAATAAATATGCGAATAATAATATTAAATATTATTTTAAATTAAATTAAATTAAAGAAAAATTAACAAGTTTAACTATTTTTAGAATTTACTATATAACAAACCAGATTCAAGAAACGACATCTAACGAGCAATTGTTGCATGCTAGGGACATTGATAATTAGACTATTGGTGGTTTTTCAAAAGAATGATTGGTTAAATAAAATAAAATCACTTCTAAGAGGGATCACTTTTCTTGTACCTTTCCTCCAGTCTTTTATTTAAATAAGAATACATTTTATAGTCATACTACGTTGAAAGAATACTAGAAGTTTGTGTGAATATGATGAATATTTCTATGAATGAGTATTTTTATATTAATAAATAATAAAGACAATAATATTTCATTAAATCTTTGTCTTTGCAATCAACTAAAATATTTACATATACATCAAGAAGAGTCTTCAATGTACATCGTAATCTTGCTTATTTGAAACCATCCTATGATAATGATGAAAAATGAAGATGATTATGTTGTACTTGGTTCTTTAATATATATATATATATATTTGATAAATTCTGGCCATGCATGTGATAGAACGATAACTAAAAATGACGTAAAAAACGCGAATGAAAACGATAATAACGATAATACCTGTGCAAGAAGCGGCGTCTCTGTGCTGTCAGCGATTTGGTAGAGCCGGCAATTTGCGTTTGCTCTGAAGAATACGTGCCCAAACGAAAAAAGATAAAGAAGACAACGTAAATCGTCACTATAATAGATAGACGTCAAAAGACTGGCGCAAAGAGAAACAGAAAAATCATAAGCAACCCGCTCGATCAATAAAACACCCAAGTAAATGTACAAAACTGACATCGAGACATGCACGGAGGCTTTTTTGGCGTTTGAGGTTATATTTACACGGATACATTGCGATGTGAATATTTTGCAAACTGTTTGCCACTCATAATTTTTTTTCTTTATATTTTTTCGTATATACTTCTTCATTTGAATTATACGAACAAAATATAATCTTCATGGCGAACAATTTGCAATAGCCGACGATCCTTGAAAGTTAACCTGAAACCGAGTAAATGAATTGAAGAATGTACGTACATGAATGAATGTGAGTAAATGAATGTTTTATTGTTTAACAAATAAATGATTTAAAAATATGAAAGCGCGACTGGACTTGTTCTGCAAAGCGAAAATAAAGGGAGAGAACAGAGTCTTTATTTTGCCTACCATGCTGTTCATAACACGCTTTAGATAATAATGCACATATGTGGGATAAAAAGGTAGAGAGCGAAAAGAGACTCTTGTCCATTTCTTTTAATTTCCTTTTGTTTTATTTTACTTTTCTGGACTTTTTTCCAATTGTAATTATATATATATTAAGGTTTAAAACAAAAAAAATAAGGAAGAATTTTAGTTCAGAAAAGTAATGGTTTCTTATCTTTTTAACCTTCCTTCCGCCTATCCTCTGTACTATTTCAATTTATATCATTTTTATCAAATATCATTTTTTATCAAATATAAAAAAAGAAATAAATGATAATAATTAATAAGTAACATAGTATAATGCAAGACATAGAAATTCACAAGTATTACTTGAGAAAAGTGATCCAAATATATTCCCTCTTATTAATGTTTTTAATGTATTTTTTTATTTATATAAATATCAATAGCAGTGGAATAAATATACAGACAGAGAAAGCGGCGGTAAGAGAGGCGAAAGATTGGAACAAACGTCGCTGAGATAAAACAATGTCTACAATGAAAACTGACCTGTCGAGGCTTGACCGGTGGTGGTGGACGAGTGGAGGACGCGAGAGCTGCGGGTGGTACCGTAGTTGGGGGCTGTTGATGAAGTGAGTGTTGAGGCTGCCAAGGCA